GGGTGGTGCTGCGGGTGCTGCGGGTGTGGGTGCTGCTGGTGCGGGCGGGGAGCAGTTTGGGAGGGGCGCGGGGGATGATGGTGGTGCGGGTGGAGGCGCTGGGAGGAGGAGGGCGCCGCTGCCGAGCCAGGAGGAGAGCTTGAGGATGGAGCAGAATCAGGGGCATTATAAGAGGGCGAGGTAGGTAGGGTGTGGAGAGCTTGATAGGAATGAGGGTTGGGAGATGGGAGGAGTGTGTGTATCTCGCTGATCAGGGTTGGGTTGTTTAAAGGTGGCCGGTGGTCGGGGGATGTAGTAAAGGAGGGAAAATATCAGGTAGAAGATAGGGATTGGGGACTGATGTGGTTGCGGTTATTTCCGAGTTTATAAGGGGACAAATCGGGCCTGTTAGAGGGTGTACTCAGATTCCCAGCACACTGAGGTTGAAGTGTAGTCCGATTCGGGCCGTTATGTGTTTGCTTGTCTTGTTAATTACGGACTCGCATGCATGACGGCGGTTATGGTACTGTGCAGTCCAATCCTGCTCTGCTATGTACACCCAGAAAACAGTTGACAGCTCGCTCGCTCCCTCCCTCCATCTGGTCAACGCTCCCCTGACCTTTGAAACCATTCCATTCACGTTTCATACACGTCCACTTTTTGACATTATATTACAGATTCCACAATTACAGCACCCCTCTTACTTCTTCGCAAACGCCTTTTGCCTCTCGGCATACTCCTTCACCACGATCGAGCAGCTCGTCTCGGCGCACAGCCGCTTCCTCCTCGCGGCAGGCAGCTTGTTGGCAAACTCGAGGCCGCTCGCCCTCTCGACGGCCTCGAGCGGCACCTCAAAGTCGCCCAGGGGCTTCTCGTTGGGGATGACGGCGTTGGGCAGCACGAAGGCGCCCAGGGCCACCTTGCCGCCCGGCGCGCTCTGCTCCTCGGCGTAGATGACCTTGTAGAAGTGGGTGGGGACGGCGACGTTGGGCGGGTTGCCGATGACCTCGTACTTGACGTACCACTTGTTGTCGGCCGGGTCGCGCTTGGGCAGGTACAGTGGGCCGGTGACGACGCGGACGCTCGGGTAGCGGGTGGTCAGGCGGCGGCAGAAGTCCTCGAAGTGCGCCCAGTAATCGCGGTTGAAGCCCTCGCCGACCTGGGGGCACATGTTGCTGAGGTAAAAGGTCTCGTCCATGGCCTTTTGCGACCACTTGCAGTCGGCGGCGGGGACCTGGTGGCCGCGGTCGTAGCCGGAGCGGAAGTAGTCCTTGAGCTTGGCCTGGAACTTTTCGGGGATGGCGGGGTCCTCGAGGAAGGCGCTGTTCTTGCGGTCGCCGTCGCGGATGGTCAGGGAGGTCGGGGTGAAGTGCTCGGCGACCCAGTGCGGGTTGCGGGTGCGGCGGTCGTAGGACGAGACGAGGGCCTGGCGGGCGGCGAGGTCGGCGACGGGGCCGGGGAAGCCATACTCGAAAAGACCGGCGGGGTTGACGGGGGCGGCGGGGAGGGAGCCGGAGGTGGGGATCGCGGGTGTTGGTGCTGGGACGGGGACGGGGACGGGGGCGGGGACGGGAGCGGGAGCGGTGGTCGTTTGGTTGCTAAAGACTTGGGAAGCCGGGACGGGGACGCCCTTGGTGGATGTTGTGGTGGTGGTGGTGGTTGTTGTTGCGAGTTCGGGCTTCTTGTCGGAGCGCATCGAGTACATGGCGGCCGTGGCAGCAGCGCCGGCGCCAGCACTGACGGCCGCAATGACGGCGATGGTCGCTTTTGACATGTTGACGGTCGTTTGTGGTTGTGGATGTCGAGTGCCAACGCGACTGAGGCTCTGTGTGGATGTCTCAGCCTTCTGCTCTGCGGCCGGAAATTTTGATGCAGGCTTGGTGATCGGCAGATGCACCCCTGCACAAGAGACAGCTTCGATCCCCGGCCCCGCGAGCCCCGCCAGAGAACACGGCAGGTGCAAACTCCAGCTCAACCCCACACCAATCATCCATTCTCCGTTCTTGTTCAAAGATGGCCGTGGAGGTCTGTCAATGGACAGAAAGGCCTTGGATTCTCGAATTCTCGAGAAAGTCGCTCTGCGGGCTGACTTTAGCCATCAAGGTGCTGCCTCTCGTCACCTGATGACCTGACTCTGACTGCAGCAACGCGCAACGCAAACAACACCTTGGGTGGCCATCAAGGTTCCCGGGCGTCGGTCGGTCGGTCGGTCGGTCAGCCCTGCGGGCCACTGGGCGAGTCGGAAACAAGTCGGGCGAGTCAGACAGCACCGATTCGTAACGAACGGCGGCTCGGGAGGCGGTACCCCTGCCACGACGCGGGGGGTTACACCGATACACTGGCTATGCCAAGGTGCTTGATGATGATGCCATGGATTGGATCATTAAACACTTTTGGTCCCGAGATCTCACTGGGAACTGGTCCTTCGTTCTTTGTTCTTCGCTCCATTATCACGTATGCATTTTGACGGCGACTGACTTCCCGCGTGCCCTGTTCCTGAGTTCCGAATTCATAAAAGTGTCGGGTTGGGGTCGTCCGCATGCCCGCCCTGCCTGCCGCAGACCCTCCTCTGAAGCTGGCGGCCGCTGTGGGGGCCTAGCATTGGCCCATTTTGCACTGCTGCCACTGCTGCCACCCTCTTCTTTCCCCCCCACCGGTGCCAGCCATCGAGGTTCTCACCGGCGACCTTTCACCTCACCTTTTGCCATTGTTGCCTCGCCGCCGTGGCTTTTGTCCCCCTTTGTCATTCCATCCAACCTCCAAACGACCTACACCCGTGTCCTCGTGGGACAGCGTCAGCATTTGTTGCCCGTCCTCACCCACGCCACCGCCAAAAAACTCGACACTCGACACTCGACACTCGACACTCGACAGATTTTCGACTTCTCGCACATCCCACGCCCGCCTCTCGGGCCCCGCGCCATGGACAACGACACACGAGGCTGGCTCCTGTGCGCCTTCAGTGGCCTCGCATGTATCCTAGGCGCATCCGTCATCTGCATCGACATCCCTATCCGCCTGCTTCCGAGCAAGCGCCACTTCCGCATCCAAGAGAGCAATGGCTTCCTCGCCTGCTCGCTCAGCTTGAGCTTCGGCGTCATGGTGCGTCGCCCTGTCCTTGTGCTTTTGTGACACCACGCTGACCTCTTCACCAAGCTGTTCTCTGCCCTCTACAGCATGTTGCCGTCTGCTATGCGCTACCTCGCCAAGGACGAGTGGAACGAGCAAGCAGCAGGCTTTGTCATGATGGGTTGCTTCGTCGGCGGCTTCTTCGGCATTCAGATCATCTCGCGCGTTCTGCACCGCTACATGCCCTCCCACGTCGTCGACTGCGATCACACCCACGACAGTCCCGCCGACGAGGAGCACGGCGCTCACCACGCCCACCACGCCCACCACCACCACTCCCTGCCGAAAGCGTCCGCGGCTGACCGCCCTCACATGGTCGAGTTGCACAACAGCATCACTGAATCAACTCCTCTGCTCTCCTCCGACGCCCCGCGAAACGGCCACATACATACCGAACTCCTCAATGGCGATTCCACCCCGTCAGCCGAGGCCGTTACCCATTTCCACGGCACCCAACGCCGAGCCTCCACCCAAATCAGACGGCCGTCAATGAATGTCCAGAGCCGCGTCATGTCCTTCTTCAAAGATACCAAGGCCAACTGCGACGAGGATGGGCCTTGCTACGGCTACTCCGACCCCTGCGGGCAAGAGTGCTTCAAGCACGTCGGTACGCGCTCGGCTCTCTTTCGCACCTCCACGACGCGTGCTGCTACACTGCCCCTGACTGGGCAAACCGACGGCTGCGAAGATGGGCACGACGGTTCGACCTTTAGTCCTCGATGCCGCATCATGCGCACCCATTCCCACTCCCACGACCACGGCGACCACTCGCACGCCCATACCCATGCTCACACGCACACACATGCCCACGACAGCGACTCCGAGTGCTGCGAGGACACCGAGGCCCAACACCATCACCACGTCCCGACCAACGCGTTCCTCTCCATCGGTCTGCAGACCGTCATCGCCATCGCCCTGCACAAGTTCCCCGAGGGCTTCATCACGTACGCGACGAACCACGCCAACCCGTCCCTCGGCCTGAACGTCTTCATGGCGCTCTTCGTCCACAACATTGCCGAGGGCTTTGCCATGGCCCTGCCGCTGTACATGGCCCTGGGAAGCCGCATCAAGGCCATCTTCTGGTCCTCCCTGCTGGGCGGCTTCAGCCAGCCTCTCGGCGCCGCCGTGGCCGTCGCCTGGTTCAAGCTGGCCCGCCGCTCCAACTTTGTGATTGACAGCACCGCGTATGCCTGTCTCTTTGCCGTCACGGCTGGTATCATGGTCAGCGTGGCCCTGCAGCTGTTTGTCGAGAGCCTGAGCTTGAACCACAACAGGAACCTGAGCATCTTTTTTGCGTTTTTGGGCATGACATTATTAGGGATCAGCAACGCTCTGGTTACGGACTGATCGGTGAGGGGGAAAATTGTTTCTCGGGCGTTTGGATCATTGGCGTCGTCTAGTTACAGTGTTGGGACATGGCATGGGTACAAACAGCAGGTCTTGGTTTCGTGGGCGTTTGGGTATAAGGGGCATTGGAGTCTAGACTGGCATATATCGAGCCAGACGATGCATTTGCATAGCACAAGCACACGCATGTTGTACATATGGTATTTCCAGCGGTTGGCTTTTAAATCCTTTGGTCGACATGTGAGATCTGCTGAGCCACCAGGGGCGCCACCATTAACACCCACGCATGTCCCCAAGTCCACCACAACCGGCCTCGCTCATCTTCTTATCCACCCAGCTGCCTCCTCCCTTTCCCATCCGGCCGGTTTCTAATCAGACTACCTAGTGGCACGGCGTCCTGGTACTTGAGAGAAGTCCCGTCCCTTGCCGGGCAACCTCGGGATCCCCAAAAAAGCAGGCCCATCCATCCCCTTCCCCACTCCATCATAAGCAGACAACAGGGCAGGCAGGGGTGAGGGGAAGCGTAACCCAGCAAAAGTTGAAGCTGCCTAATACAGGAATCGAACCTGTGATCTTTGCATGTCGTCGGAAGCGGCCCCTCTCGAGAAAGAGGGGCTTTTTGATACAAGTGCAACGCATTAGCCACTATGCTAATCAGGCTTGCTTGCTTATTGGCTCTCGCGGTGGATACGGCGGTTGTGAATGGGGGGGAGGAGACGATGTGAGCGAGGGTCACGATCAGGGGGAGATAAAACTCCGAGGAAGAAGAGGCGGTTGGGGCAGAATTATACACATGTGCCTGTTATACTATTATAGTCATCAACATGTACATGTCTTAATTATCCCATCCATCATCCATCCATTCCATTATATTCCTCTCCAGCCTCCCTCTCCCTTCCCGGTTCAACCCTCCAACACAAACACGCATCAACAAACAGCAGGCACCCCCCACCACCCACCGCCCACAGCCAGCCAGCCAACCATGCCAGTCAGTAAGTCAGTCAGTCGAATAATGTAATGAATCGATTTATCTGTATCTTGACAAACGCCCAAACCAACCAACCGACCCCACAAAGCACACACACACACACACACACACATACACTAGACACAGAGTGAAAGACAGCCAGACAAGAAGAAAGCCTTCGTCTTCCGTTTTGTCCGCCTGACCCCCAACTCGGCCAATGCCATTTCATTCCATTTCCATATCCATATCCATTTCCCAATCCCTTTCCTTCCTTTCTTTATCCATTCCTCCTCCTCCTCCGCAGCCAGCCAGTCAGTCAGTCAGTGACAATGACAGTGACCCTCAATGGTAGCCAGCACGGTCAAAGCATCCATCAATCCATCCTAAAGTAAAACTCAAAACTAGAGAAGAGGGATAAAAACGGCGTCAAGGGGAGAAAAAAAAAGAAACAGAAAAGCAAAGAGTTAAAACGCCACGCCGATAATTCCGCTTTCTCCTACCCCACCCCTTGCCTGGCCCGACCACCTAGAAACCCAGAAACACCCCCCTGCCTAACGTTATCACACATACATACACAGACACAGATACTAAAAAGCGTGGAAAAAAACCGCCGAGCCGGGGGACCTGACCCAGCGCCTACAAAACCCTTGTCCTCCCACTGGACTGACCGACCGACCGAACTCGATCCCACTACGGTATGGAACAGAGAAGGGGTTCACGATCGGATCTACTCCTCATCGCTCCCGACGGCACTACTCGCCCCATTCACAACCCCATTACCACCGGCCCCAGCACCGGCCCCGTTAGCTGCCGCCGACGCGTTGCTTGAGACCAGCTTGATCCTCGTGGGCGGGCCGCTTGGCGTCGGCTGGGGCGTGCCGTCCGCGGTCGTCGTCGCCGCCGCCGACGCCGAGGGCGCGACGGAGCCGTCCTTGGCTGGTGCGGACGGGTCCTCGAGGGCGCGGAGCTCCGGGTTGTTGGCCAGTTCCTTTTCGAATTGTGAGACGTAAAAGGCCTGTTGTGGTGGTGGGGTTGGTTAGTATGGATGGGGTGGAAAACAAAAGAGAAAAATTAGGGGGGGAGGAGGCTCACCTCTAGCAGGTTCACGTCCTGGCAGATACCGCTGCTCTCCTCGTTGAAGGTCCTGCAGTTCTTGACCATGAGGTCCAGGTCCCTGCGCAGGTCGCCCAGGCTGTTGTAGTCTTCCTTCTTGATCCTCTTCTGGATGTCGTTCATGCAGATCGGGTTGGCGATGATGAGGTAGTAGTCTTGCCAGTCGCGCTTGGGCGGCAGCTTGACAAAGGGCCCAATGATGAGGCGCTTCGGGGGCCCGTCCTCGTCGTCCTTCTCGTCGGGCTTCTCCTCTGGCTCGTCGTCATCCACCTCGAGGTTCATGAGGCCGTCAAAGATGCGCTTGAGGCTCTTCTGCAGCTTGTCGCGGGCGTCGGGAGCCAGGCCGGAGCCGTTCATGCTGACCGCCTTGGGACGTCCCTGCGGTCCCCGGCGCTTCTTCGCAGGCGGCTCGTCGTCGCCCTCTTCGGCCTTGCGCTTTCTCTGGTTCTTGCTGCCCGGCTTGCGCCCGCGCTTCTTGACCGGCGTCTCGACATCCTCGGTGCTAGCGCGGCTGGCCGACGGCGAGTTCTCCATGGACGCGTTCAGGTGCGCCTTTCTCAACTTGTTCGCCTCGCGCCTCTCCTTGCGGGCGTTCTTCCGGGCAGCTGCGGCCTCGGGGGAATCGTCGTCGTCGTCCACGGCCATGAGCCACTGCTCTTCCGTGAGCCCGTCGTCGTACTTAACCTTGGTGCGCTCACGGGCACCACGGCCCAGAACCATCTCCACCTCCTCCTCGACCGGGTTGCCCTCGTTCAGATAGATGTCGGGCAGCTCATCCTCGGCCATGAGGCGCGGAACCCCCTTGCAGCCAGGGGCTGTGCCGTAGGTGGGGTCACGTATCCTCTCCTCGTCGAGCTTCTGGAAGACGGTAAGCTCATCATCACTCCGCGCAAGAATCATGTTGAGCTCCTCGTCGTCCATCTCCTCCTGCTCGCCGGCCTCTGCCATATCAGCAGTTTCCAGCAGAGTCCGAAGCATGGCGTCACGGTCCGTCTCCGAGGACTTGTTGTCGAAACGACCGGCTTGAATGACCTTGCCGTCCATGTCGAGCTTGAACCTGGCGCGCTCCAGAATCTTCTCTTCGACCGACGCAGAGCTGATCAGCCGGAGAATGCGCACTTCGTTCTTCTGGCCGATACGATGGGCACGATCCTGAGCCTGCAAGTCCTGGTGAGGATTCCAGTCCGAGTCGTAGATGATGACCGTGTCGGCCGTCTGCAAGTTCAGACCCAGGCCACCAGCACGTGTGGACAGGAGGAACATAAAGTACGGCGAGTCGGGCCGGTTGAAATCCCTGAGCAGGTCGGAGCGGTCCTCGGACTTGGTGGTACCATCCAACCGCAGATACGTGATGCCACGGAACCGGAGGAAGTCTTCCATGATGTCCATGATAGCGGTCATCTGGAAGAACATCAACACACGATGGCCCGTCGCCTTGTACTTGGGCAGGATCCGGTCGAGCAGTTCAAACTTGCCAGCCGTTCGCCAGAGCATGTCGTTGCTGATGTTGGCTGGGTTCATCTGGTTCTCGACCTCATCAAACACGAACGGATGGTTGCAGAGCTTCCGGAGCTGCATGATCATGTTGCTCAGGCCGCGCGCACCAGTCTTGCCGCCCTTCCCGTCGCTCACAGCAATCTTTTGGTGGGTAACCATCTGCTTGTAGAGGCGAGACTGGAGCGCCGAGAACTTGCACTTGATGACCTTCTCCGTCTTGTCAGGAAGATCCTTCTCGACATCCTTCTTGAGACGGCGCAGCAAGAACGGCCGCAGCACCTTATGCAAGCGACGAATAACGAGAATTTGCTCTTCTTCCGTCAGCTCCATTTTGTCCTGGCCACCCGTGTTTGCAAACGGAGTGTTGAACCATTCATCGAACGTCTTGGCCGACTTGAAGATGTTGGGAAGAACGAAGTTGAGCATGGCCCACAGCTCGGCAAGGTTGTTTTGCAACGGGGTACCTGTGAGAATGAGGCGGAAGCGGGTGCTGTAGTATTGCTGGATGGTGGCGCTCAGCTTGGAGTTGGAGTTCTTCATGCGGTGACCCTCGTCGATGATCATGTGGAACCACTTGATCTTGCTCAGCAGAGGCCGGTCCTTGATAATGTACTCGTACGTTGTCAGCAAGACTTGGAACCTCCCTTGGCGGATCTTCTCTTGCTGCAACTTTCTGGCGTTGGGAGGACCCTTGTAGACCACCTTGGCAACCGAAGGGGCCCACTTGTCAAACTCCAGGTTCCAGTTGGTCAGGGTGCTGAGCGGAACGATGACCAGATACGGGCCGTTCTGGTGCTTCTTCTCAATCAGGTAGGTGATGAGCGAGATGGTCTGGATCGTCTTGCCGAGACCCATTTCATCGGCCAGGATACCGTTGAGGTTGTTGTTGTAGAGTGACAACATCCATTGCAAACCCTTGATCTGGTACTCCTTCAGGGTACCGCCAACCAGAATGCTAGCCTGGGCGGTAACCTCTTCCTTGATGCGGTGAGCAACGGCGTAGTAATCAATCTTGCGGCTGCTCTCCTCGTCTTCGTCCTCGCCCTCGCTCTCCTCGGGAAGCTCGTCGTCGCCATACCGTTCGGCAGCCTGGCGCTGCTGAGCACGAACAGACGACGCAAGCTGGTGCAAGAAACCATCGGTCTGGCGAAGCAAGTGAGTAATACGTGTGTCTTTGGCTTGGTCGAGCAGCTTGAGGTAGGCCTCTTCGTCGTTGGCCTTGAGCGCCTGCAGACGCTGCTTGGCAGTCCTCTCGATCCTCTTCTGCTCCTCCTTTTCGATGTTGAAATGGTGGGCGTACATGAGACGGCTGAGTTTCTGCGTCTTGCCGCGCTGGGCCTGGCCGGAATTGAGGACCTCGTTGCGGTGGTTGAGCATGGCTTGCAAGAAATCGCCATGCTTCTTGCGCTCCCGGTTCTCGCGCGCATCGCGCTGCTGCTTCTCGAGCTTCTCGGTGATGCGAGCTTCCCGGACATTCTGCTTCTTCATGCGGCGATACATGGCGCGGTTTGTCGTCATGGCAAGGTTGTCGTAGTGCATCATCTGCTTTCCAATCCTGTCCCTCAAAGCGCGCTGCTTGGAATACAAAGCCAACTTCTTCATCTCGATGATGGCTTTCCTCTTCGCCGTGTCGTCAGCGACGAGGACATCCTGGGATGCGTCCCAATGGGCGAGGTTGCCGGGAAGGGACTTCAGCTCCGAGTATCTGGCGCTCATACGGTTGAACACAATCTTCTCACGATCGGCTCTCAGCTGCTCAAAGTCGATGCCCGTCGGGAAGATGCCCGGAATGATGAGACGATTCTTACGGCGCCCGTGGTCCATGTACGAAATGGTTTTCCGCACCAGGCCGCCGTCATATGGCGACTTGACTGTCTTGAACGCCTTGGGTTGCGGGGCCTGTGCGGCTTCGCCCTGCGCATCCGCTCCGTTTGCGCCAGGCTTCACACCATCCGGTCCCGATGTCTCGGGCGCGGCGTTCGTGGATGGTGATTGTGTGTCTTGTTTCGTCAGAGACGCGCGGCGACGAGCCCGGTGCTCGAAGATGGCCTTCTGCATCTGGATGGGAACACCAGCATTCTTG